AAGGGCGCGCAGGCGTTCCGGAGTGGGGCGGGGCGGGGCGGGGCGGACAGGACGGAGCTATGTGGACAGGAAGGGGCAAAGGATGAAGGAGGAACTGGATGGCGCAGCTTGGCGGATGGTGCGATGGATGTGTGTGTGTGTCTGTGTGTGTATGTCTGTGTGTATCTGTGTGTGTCTGTGTGTGCGTCTGTGTGTGCGTCTGTGTGTGCGTGTGTGTGTGTGTGTGTGTGTGTGTGTGTGTATGAAGGCTACATATAGTTCCAGGCTTGACGCTGGCCAGGCGCTGCAGGCCAGCCCCAACGGAAAGACCGCCGTGTGTGTACGTATGTATGTGCATGTGTGTGTCTCTGTGTGTCTCTTACACCTCGGTTGCGTATTTACCCAGAGAGAGGTGTAACACGGAGTGCCCATACGAGCTAGCAGAGGCCCAATAGCCCCCTTAGAGCCACACGTTCGTCGGTTAGGAACATAGTACAACGCAAAAGTGACAACATCCTAGCAATATACACAAGGAGGGAAACAGCCAGCCAGGACACTAACCGACTACGAGCGCCGGTGTGGAGATGAGCACGTAAGCCAACTGCTTTTGTGTACCAGGTGGGCCAGTTTTGTTTGATCGCTCTCCGTCAGAATCGTGCACTTGAAGTTATTTCCTAAAATTATACATCAACAATACAGAGATTGTCTAGCGTAATTGAGAGGTATCCTCGCTAGGGGGAGGGGGAGAAAGGTTTCATTGGGTTTGCCAAGTGCACCGCAGGCTGTTGGGGGAGGGTAATTGAGTCTTCGGCACAGCGCCAGCCTTCAAGGTGTAACACAGACAACGAGCACTGGAGCGAGAAATGCCAAGGGAAGCTGATCCCTACAGCCTACACAAGTTGAGCGAACCCGTGCAGTGCAGGGCGTGTGTAGGTTTAGGTTCTCACAACGGTCCGCAAGAGGGCCCAACAGGTTGTCGGCTTCAATTGCAAGTAATCGTATTGACTTATTCCCAGCTTTGACCACTTTGCTCAAACCTCAAAAATGAAAGATCATATACACCTCTTACTTGTCTGAGGGCATCAACACGGTGACCTTTGGATTCGCCCTTACGATGTCTTGCATCCGCGGTGTGCCGAAGTACTCGATGCTGAAGTCGTACTGTGCACGGGGGCAGTACGGCAGGACCAGCAGGTTTAACCCATAAAACGTGGTCATGCCGAAAACGATGCCCATAATACGTGGTCAAAGGAATCATTAAGTTTTTACGTACATACATATGCACATATTCACATGCACACATACGCTGGAAAGCCTCCGGGTAGCAGGTTTGCAGGACGGTATGGTGCATGGCGATTGGTTTTCGCGTGTACGGCATGTGTAGCATCCTGCCTTGCCGTTTGATGTGTAGCATGATGCATAGCGCGCGGCGTGGATAGCGTGCCATTGTATGTATG